GTGTTATGCACCTGTTTAGACATAACGAGTCACACATGTTTTCCCTACATCTGACATGGAAACAGAAATATGACAGATTTATTTTGTATAGTTTGATATGTAGAGGTCCAAGTGAAACTAGGTAGTCACGTATCGATTCCTCCGTTTGAAACGAGTTGACTCATCCTCTTCTTTGAAACCTCCAACGAAAGCGTAGGAAGCCATTTTTTGACTATCAACGTCAATATATAACCGATAGTCTGAACTGAATGAAATTTGGAACACATATGTCTTAAAAATTAATTCTATTTACTTAATTTTTGTCTTAGGCCATCTCAAATAGTTTTCGAAAAAAAAAATATTTTTCTAGACCTGGTTTCTGGAAAATTTTCTTATTACACCAATTGTTAAAATCTAGTAGGCATCTAGTTGGCGGATATGCGGTATATGTTGTCAGTGTCAGGTTATTTTTGACAACAAGCTTCATAAAGTTTAATGAATAAGTAACGTTTGAGTTCAATTTTGATTGTTAATTTGTTGTTTATTCTTTATAAATTTCAAATTATATTTAACCCTAAACGAGAAATTTGATGGTACATGGATTGGCAGAGGTCAAGAAGATCCTATTCAATGGCCGCCTCGTTCGCCGGATCTTAATCAATGCGATTTTTTTATATGGGGAGCATTAAAAACAGAGGTATACGATGTTCATATAAACTGGTGAGCAGTTGCTTTGCAAGATGGAAAATTTTCCCCAAATTCAAATCTCGATATTTTCTGAACGGAAAGAGATGTCGAGTTGCGGTAGTCGGGAGGTTCCTGACCAGCTCTTTGAGAACACGTACAGGGTTCGACCAGTGTATTTCTTTCATTTATCCACTTATACAGGGTGAGCAAAGGAAGTAAGGTTTTTTAGGAAAGTTTGGGGCTATGTCAGATTCTGAATTTTTGATCTTGGAAAATTTTCTAAGCATCTGTTTAATCTTTGGACTATCCTAAATAAAGCAATTTCTCAAATTTTCCAAAATTTGACTATAACTCAAATTATCGAATTCTAAAAAGTTTTATATTTATCCCTAAAAAAACGAACTTTTTTGGGGTTTCTCTTGAGAATGTGTATTTTCTCTCATACTGTTGCATAAAGTGGAATTTCTTGTGCCCGAGAAAATATTGAAGCGCTCATAGAACGTTATTGCCTCTAGTGGCGTGCAGTAAAAAAATGCTAGTCTGACATTATGTAATTTAAACCAAATTTTTAATGAACAAATTCAAGTTACTACTCTTAATATAGGGGTGTATTCCAGTGGCGCAACACCAAAAGCATTTTTTGGTTTGATAAGAAGTGCTAATAACTTGAAAATTTTTATTTTTCAAAATGCTATGATGCTGGCCAACACTGCTTTTCATCTTTTATCTGGAATTTGTTATCTTTCTCATTCAGCATTGGCGTAAGTGTCTTCATTGGAAATGTTTTTCATAGGTAATAGGGGCCGTTCAAGTATTACGTAAGCAGATTTATTACAATTATATACCCCCCCCCCCCAACCCCCTTGTCAGCAAAAGTAAGAAAAGCTCTTACCCCTCCCCCATGCTTACGTAAACATTTGTCAATTAATGTATTGTTTTTTTAATATTATAATTATAACGTTATAACTATAATTTTGAAAAATAAGAAAATCGATTTAGGATAGAGATTATATTTTACTGATACGGTGTTCAACATAGAGTAAAGGACAAAAATATTATATCTTACTAACATAATAAACTTATTTTAAATTTTTGGTACATATATTAAATTCAAATCAACAGTCTTCAGTCCATGAAACCCACATCCATGATTCTAAGTTTTCGATGACATTGGATTGCTTCGATTGCTGCTCAGTGTTGTGAGTTTGCTCGCTTTCATCGGATTTTGGAATGTCTACGTCGTTCTCATCTAGCCATTCAACATCACGGTGCTCTAAATTTTGAATAATGCACATCAGTTCATTAGCACGACGAACAGCGACTCTTACAGGTCTAACTTAACTATCAGTGTGCGTGTTTACTTTTTTATGGATATTTTCGATGTGACGATTTAGTGACTTGACGGAAGCATGATAAAGACCACACGTTTTGCATGTTCGACTTGATAGCCTCAATTTTACCGTCGGACAAAAATAATCGTAGGGCATTTGCAGGAAATCTTTGAGTGAAGCACTTAAGCGTAGAGCTAAATTGACTGGAAGATTCAGAAATTGCCCTCCTTCATCCAAAACCAAGTCATCAACTGTTTTTTTTACTTTTACAGGTGGTGGAAGCAACCTATTGTCTAGTAATCTAAATAGGCCACTTCTTGGACGACAGGATTCTGTACTTCTACATTTTACAATTTGAAGCAAGTATTGGCTCTCACGCACATGTTCTGAATACCATTTAATGTCTGGAAAATCAGGAAGATCTTGTTCACCTGACCCAACATATTTTGCATTAACATTATAGCCATCAATTTCCATTGAACTCCATACTTCAGCTAATACATTTCCTGCAAATTCGAAATTAGATCTTTCTAAATGTTCATCAATTGCCACGTTCATCCAAATGAGACCCAAAATGGTCATGAGGCAATATTAAACCAGCCAGTTCCCGACTAAGAGGAGCCATTCTGCGCTCTAATCTGTTATACGCACTTCTTCCAGGAGCATTGGTAGCTAAAAACAATGCATCGAGATCATGTCGCTTAAAGTCTTGTATAGCAAACCCTATGACTTTTTGATAACGTGGATTTTCATCTGGCCCTCCATCAACTGTCATGATTACCACTGGTTTTACTAGTCCATGGTCAGTTTTAGCTAATGGTCGAAACTCTTCAAGTTCGAGAAGCGTCTCGAAATCCTGAGCATGAGTATTAGCAGTAGATGAACTATGCTTTCCACTTCGAATAGCGATGTATGTTGGTCCAGAATATCCAACGGCTTGCGGTTTTCCTAGCATATTGGAAGTGATTTTGATACCAACATAAACAGATGGTATTAATTTATGACGCTCAGCGATTACCCCATCGTGATCAGGCAATTTGATTCTATATTCCATGTGCATTAGAAGATGTGATTGCTTATTTGCCGCAGTTACGCCAATAGGGACTTAAGCTTTATCATCTTGAGATATGAAAAATACTTGATCTGGTCCAAGTATGGATGCTATGTTCTCTAAATAATGGATTGATGTTTCAGCGAACTTGCTATCTAAGTGGCTCTTGTGGTTGATCAGTTTGAGCCCGAATGAGCTCAACAGGGACTGTCGATACATGTCTTCGTCCCTCTGCAGAATTAGATTTTCTGGGAATCAAACGAAGATATGTCCCAATGCGACTAATGTCAGATCCTATTTTACGTAATTCTTGTGTGAGTTCATCAAGAGTTTTTACGCTGCGAATTGATTCCGTTCGTCTTCTATCATCTGCTGCACTCCCAAATAAAGCTATATCCGCGATTGTTTTCAATAGTGAATGTTGATTGCTTTCAAGATTAGGACGTCCCACTGAATCCCTCAGAGATAGTCTTTTTTCTATTTCTGGATTTTCATGACAAATATCTTTCTTTTCATACCATCCCTGTGTTTCTTCTGGGCAACTGCATTTTGAACCTTCCTGTTTAAAGACTGTTTTGCTGTTTTTATTTCCTCGTGCAACTTAATGATCTGTTTATCAACTTCAGCACGGCTTGGCATAGTATCTCTGGCAGAATACAAATCATTCATATTTTTGTCGAGTAGAGCAATCTTATTTTTCATAGCTTCCTGAGAAGGTTTTGCTCTGTGTTTATCTGTAGTTTCATTAATTTCGCATTGCTGTTGTGATTCATTACCGGGTTTTATTTTATTTTCTGCCTCTTTTTTAATATTTGAAGCTGGCTGTATAATTTGTGTTTTTTCTGCAGGTTTACAGGTTGCCTAAAAATAAAAACTTTCTATGGCTTCTGCTAATCTCTTATTAAGCTACATAAATACAAAGTATGGCAATATATATGGTAAATACAAAACCCTATGGCTTTAAATCTTCGTTAACTAACTTTTGTACATTTTGTATTTTCGTACTTGTATGAGATTTTTTAAAACTTTCAAACAATTTTTGGTATAACTTGGATTTGTCTATATGAAACGACATCTTATTTAAACATTAAACTTTGGCTAATGGAATCAATGGTAACACAAATGTTAACTTGCTTTACTATGCTTACAATAAGTCTACTCGCTATAGTATCCAAACGAAACAATACACTGATAGAGCAAATTTAGACAAGTGAACACCGCGCGGTAATTCCCCTACTCGGTTCTAAAGCGCTGTTCACTAAACGTATGCATTATTTGCGGGCCCCGAAAATGCGTTTCGTTTTCAAGCAAAGACAATGTGAGGGTTGCCATTCGTGTAAAGAAGTAAATAACTACCGATGACGTAATCATCATCTAGACTCCCCTAGCCCCCATGTTATCCAAAATAAGCAAAGCAAAGATCCCCCGCCCCCCCCCATAGTGCTCACGTAATACTTGAACGGCCCCTATGCTCTAGCGCCGCCACTGTTTGAGCGTAATATTTTTGAGCAAACTCTCCACACATTTAATTTTCCCTGTAGCTGAATATCGAAATGGCCCACCCATGCGCTCGCCAGTGCGTCTATGCGTGCGTTGAAATTGACTTCAATTCTCTCCCATCAAAGTAAGCCGGGAGAGGACCGAATGTTCCTTAATTAGATCAAGCCAACTAGATGTGAGCGCGCGCAATTGTGACTCGGGAAGTTGACTGTGCTTAACGTTTCGTTTCGGTTCCGCCCAAAACATTGATAAAAACCGTGTTTGAATCGTTATCAGTACGTGATAACCGAAAATAGATCGATTGTGATCCGTATTATCGATTTTTGTGAATGAGTTGTGCAACACGCGCGAAGGCGCTCAAAAAGTTCAAAGTTGGACTCAAAATAGAGGCGGTGGCAAAGCTTGCCGCCATTTTGTCAGATTCTGACTCAAAATATTACATTAATATTTCATTTCTTTTCATATGATAAGTATGTCCGTATCATATTTTCATGAAATGATACATTTTTGAGACTGTAAGTAACACGTATTTAAATTTGAATGATGCTATATATTGTTTGGAAGCGTTTGAAATATATACAGAGTGATAATAAAATACATGGACCAACTTACTTGCTCTAAGGAAATAGTTCGTATAAAGATAATGTACCGTTACCAAGATAACAGTGTTGTAAATTTCTATGCCTCTGACGAGTCTAATTAAGGACAAAACATGAAACTTTAATTAATTTAGTTATCTTCATTTTAATATATAGTGATCTATATCATTAACAGCAAATCTGGTAAGCAATTTTAAGAATTGATGTGCAAATAGATTTTGTTTTGAGCGAAATTAGACGTTGGCTGCACTTGTTTTTGTTGATGTTCTAACGTCTATATTTAAAACTTCTTGCAGCGTAGCGAAGAAGGTGCGATAGGTAACTTTACCCTCATAGATATTATAAATAGGATATAGACGAAGATAAACTTGTGGATGGCTTAAAATATGTTCCACATGCAGAGCTCACACATATAAAGGCAGTTAAAAATTTTCGAGTTTCATAAAAATAGCACCACCGTTTTAAAATATTTACGTTTTTTTAGTTGTAGATATATTTCGGTGTAGAATATACAGGATGTTACATAATGTCAGAAAAATTAGGCACGTTGAACAAAAGTACGTAAAGAGTTATACAGAGTGTCCCAATATTCCAAGAACCTAGAAGTATCACGTATTTTCAGACTCAAAATAAGTTGCCTGGACATGATTTACCTCTATTCAAAAGTGCTTCGTTTGTCCGTTAGAGGACGTCAAAGTTTTCTTTTCAAAACACATTTTTTTCAGATATTCTTTTGAACCGATCGATGGTCCGGTTTGAATGAAATTTGCAACCCATTTTGCTAGACATCTTAATATTTAAAAACCGAAACGGTTCGTGAAGGGTGAAGACTACCCCTACCCCTATATGAATTATAGCAGAATTTTTTCGCAACTCTTCCCAACGACTCTGAATTTTATTTCCTTCATTTTTTCTCTTATAATAATATGTTTTTCGGAGCTGGTTTCTAAAAACTGTTTCTCATTACGTCAAGTGTTAAAATCTAGTAGACATCTACGAGCCCCTTCCCACTTCAGTTGGCCCACTTCAAGATTTGTACCAATATATGCCTTTATAAACTGAACATGACGAAATTATTTACTTCTAAAACAATTTATTTTCTCAAAAACATTTTAGATACACTCTAGTCGTCAAAATACATATTTGAAGACCTATAACTAATAGAACATCTGAACAAATAAACAATGTGCGAATAAATGCGCGAAGTTAACAAAGCAACAATTGAAAGATTACCACTGGGTAACATCACCTTTATTTTTTACTACGGCTGAAATTCTTTGGGGCAGTGTTAATCAAGTTTTGGAAAAAAATTTGGTGTAAAACAATCCCATATTTCTTGAAGCTTTTGTCTCAGTTCGGTGATTATACGAGCAGGATGTTGTCGTAGAACCTTTTTCATCTCGTGCCACAAAGTTTCAATAGATGACAGATCTGGACTGCTAGAAACCCATTTCAAAAGTGGTACATTATTTTCTTCTATCCATTTTATAGCCTTTTTTGAGGTATGGCATGCTGCACCATCTTGCTGAAACACAATATCTTGGCCGGATGTCAAACATTCTTCCATCACTGGTAAAAGCGATTCTTCTAAAAATGCCAAATATTTGTTTGTATCCACATTTCCATCAAAAAAATGAAGTTTTCCTACTCCTTTTGATGTCATACTGCCCCAGACCATAATAGATGCTGGAAATTTCACTTTTCTCTTCAGACAGTTAACATGGAATGCTTCATTTTTTTGCGAATAACTCTACTGCGACTGAAACCAACACAAACTTCGAATCGGGCCTCATCACTCCATTGTATTACACACCATTGTTGAGGTGTCCATTGTTTATGTTCTTTAGCCCATCTAAGCCGATTTTTCTTTTGCAGTGGAGTTAATAGTGGCTTTTCTTTGGCCTATAAACAAGTTGTGCAACTTTAGGGTTTTTAATTCACTTTTTTTTATAAGAAAACTTACCTTGCAAGTACTAAATCCCAGTTTGTGGACCTCTCTATGAGTTGAGGACCTCGGGGTTCTCCTTCCAACAGCGTCACTCCACAGAGCACTTAATTGTAAATAATTGGCACGCTTGTTTTTCGCGATTATTCTTCTTAATGCTCTTCGGTCGGCATTTGTGATATTACTTTTTTTCACATATCGTGACTTAATTAACTGAACCAGTTACGTTATATCTTCTAACAATATTTCTCACACTGTACCGTGATAAGTCTAACAAAGTTGCAATTTCTGAGTTTGATTTCCCAGAATTAAAAAACTTAATTATCAGTAACCGAATTTTCTCACTAATAACCTTTCCTCTACCCATTTTCAAAAACCTTAACTACCCAAAACTATTTTAGACGTATTCTGACAGCTGTGTTTAATAAAAACAATTGTCATGGCTTTTGTTTTTCACAGCCACCTATGCGTTATAGACTTATTTTGCATTGAAATGAACATAGGTTGATATGCTGTAATTGCAACATGTGTTATTTTTATGCTGCAAATTTGATTAGGGAGTGATAAAGTTGGTGTTTTCTACTATATATTATCAAAATATTCATTGTTAATATTTTAAACCTATAACACTCTGCTACATTTTTATTATTTGTGTTTGATAAGAAAAGAACTAAGATTTCAATAGTTGGGCCACCTGAAATGGGAAGGGGCTCGTAGTTGGTGGAAATGTGGGATGTTATATCAGTATCAGATTATTTTTGACATCAAGCTTCATAGAGTTTAAATTAATAAAAATAATGCTTGTGTTGATTTTTGATTGATAATTTGTTGTTTGTTCTTCATAAATTTTAAATTAAATAACGTTCGAGATTATTTTTGGTTAAGTTGTTGTTGTTGCTTGTTTTTCTCAATATGGAATATGATATGTTATTAGTACTTAGTTTCTGCGAAGATAATTGCAGAAAAAATGTTGTGTTAAGAGAGATGTCCGTATCGATGAATTCCAAATCGTCAGACTTTGGCATGCATAGAACGCCGACTTGAGAAATTAGTCGATTCCAACCTCTACAAGTCAAATTGTTTATTTTAGCTAATTACACTTAACTAATTAATAAGGCGCTTGGGAACCTCTTGATGCAACTCATTTTTTTTCTCGAAAGCTATCCGAGATGGCCTCTGTTTTTATAGGAGACAGTGAATTTGGAGAAGAGGGGCCTTTGTAGTTACTCTAAAGAATTATAAATTCCTCTGTACATTTTTCTTTTGCAACAGACATATCTGGCTAGTTATCCCGATTAAATAAGTTCTGTGACGTTTTTAGATAACATGATGCAACAGTAGTTTCCCGATTTTTCAATGCAGTTTCCACTCCACATATTTACGAATTGCACATCTCATGTTGCGCGTGTTGTGTGGAGATATCCAAAAAGAGTTTTGCCGGATTTCACAATCACTTAAATAAACTTTTGAGTACGAAAATATATCAACAAAGTTTGACTTTTTCAATTTTGTCTCCTCCAAGGAAATTTTTTATTGCATTCAGAAACGAAAAAAAAAACGATAAAGTCAAGTTTGGGGGAGTTATAGATTTTTTGGTCATAATACTGGTACGATTAGACAGGCCCTTCAAAATCCAGTGATACTTTCCAAGTTATAGAAGGGCCAAAAATTAAATTAGTGTTTTTTTGACGGTTACTGTATCGCAAGAGGAATTTGCAGCAAACATTTGTCATATATGTATTTTCCCAAATCTTACCTTCAAGTATTGCAAACGATGAAATTATTACTTAAAAAAGCATCTCTCAGAATATTTGCTTGAATGTTACAAAAAAGTAATCCTAGTAGTTTTCCATATCCATATGAATGTGGAAGACACTACGAGCCCAGTCGCAGATGAGTTGGACCAACGAAAAATATTTATAGAATATTGTATTTGTGAACTAATTTATTCAAAATAACTTGAACAAAAACAACATAGATAATTCGAAACTATACTAAGTGACATATAAATCCGAACACCCAGTTTAAATGGTTTTATTTTAATAAAATTTTGTATAAGTACTTAATGAAGCATAATAAGTAAATGATTAAAATTTCAAAATGATTGCACTACTTTAAAGCCCTTTGACCTTTAATAATGTGTGGATGCACCCTGATGTGCTACGCATTCTCCAACGCGCCTAGGCATGCTTCTGATCAGGTGGTCAATGTCCTCCTGTGGTATCTCATTCAAGGCAACCACCAACTCCTCTCGAAGTGCTTCTAGAGTCTGAGGAGGACGTTGCAAATTGAGCAATCTCCTACCCATCATATCCCACACGTGCTCAATTGGGGATAAGTCGGGAGATCTTGGTGGCCATGGTAACAATGTGACATCATTATGTTGAAAGAAGTCTATTGTGACTCTTGCAACATGTGGTCGGGCATTATCTTGTTGGAAAGTTGGATCTGCCAGGGTGTCAAGATAGGGTAAAAGATGGGTTTCTAGAACTTCGTGGATATAACGCTGCGCGTTCATGTTACCTCTGATGAAGATTAAAGGTGACCTGGAACCATAAGCTATAGCACCCCAAACCATAACTCCAACAGTGTGATGAACATGACTTTCAACAAAAAACTGTGGATTTCTCCTTTCACCACGTCGCCTTCTAACCCTGGCACGACCATCGTGCATGCCTAAACAAAATCGAGACTCGTCATTAAAGACAATACTGTTCCATTCCTGATCCCAGAGTGACCGTTGTCTGCACCACTCAAGGCGATTACGTCGGTGTTCTCGAGTTAAAGGGAGGACCCAGTGTGGCCGGTATGGAAACAAGCCAAAACTTCTCATTCGTCGGTAAACACTTCGCATGCCAATAGGTCTTCCGTGTTCTGCAAACCATTCATTTGCAATGGACCTGGTATTGGAGAAACGGTCCCTTAAGGCCAATAATCTTAGGCGGCGATCTTCACGGTCTGTTGTTCTACGGCGGCGTCCAGTGCCCCTTGTTCTTTGCGTACGGCCTTCACGAAGCCATGCCTGACAACACCTAACCACAGTGTCTACACTTCTTTGCACTCTAACTGCAATTGCCCGAAAAGAAAGTCCAGCTTCCCGAAGTCCCACTATACGGCCCCTATCAAACTCACTAAGTTGACGAAATCGTACAGGTCTCCGTACTCTAGGCATCGTAACCGATCGTAAAGGATGTCAAGAACCAAAATCCGCCAACGTTGATTCTTTACTGCGGCTGAAATATTCATTTTTAGAGCGTTAGTGAATTAAAAAAAAGCAGTATAAAAACCGGAATGTCCAACTGATAAGGCTGAACATTTTTTCACTTGTTATTTACAGTAAGATAAATACATTCACCAACTTTTATTAAAATAAAACCATTTAAACTGGGTGTTCGGATTTATATGTCACTTAGTATACATTCTATAAATATATTTCGTTGATCCAACTCGTATGCGACAGGGCTCGTATATAGGTCGACAAAACAATAAAATGCATATAGAAAGAAAAATATGAAGCAGAGTTAAATAGATATAATTTGTGAAAAAAAATTGAAGGAGTCCATCCTTCCGTTTTGAACTGGATGCCCCTTGTCCGATTGACTTATTTTGAGTCTAAAATGATGCTTCGATGACCACGAAATATTGAGACACCCTGTATTATTTTAACAAATATGTCCGTCATCAATATTAACCGTGGCGTCATATCCTCTGATTAACCATTATCAAACAAATGACCTGAAAAGAAAGATAATTCTTATTGACTGATGATCCAGTGCATGCTTTTTGTATTTTATTTTTTTATGCAAGCCATAGAGCTTACAAAGACTATGAGATTTTTTTACTACGGTTATGGGGAAATAATCACATGGACATGAAATGAATGAAAAAAGACTTTGAAGATTATACATAGAGACTATTGAAACAATAATTTTATGGTGTTTTGAAATATAGTGAGCGCAAAACGGCATTATAATGACCGTGGACATTTTAGTTTGAACTTAAAACAGAAATGTTGGCAGTACTGTTGTGCGTGATGATGAAGATTTTTGAATATTCATCGGGGAAGGTAGCTGCAAGCAGCGAGAATTTGAAGAACCCGCCAAAATCGCGGAGACCTAGGCGGTTTATTAGAAGAAAGAAAGGTGAGTTCGAAAATATGGAAGAAATTGGTGTATTCAAGAATTTAATTTTGACGGAATATCACTTTTAGGTCCTACTTATGGCGCATTGATATACAACAGGCACAGACTGACAAACCGACATAAATGAGAGACATGGACTTGTGTGATTGAATACTACAACAATTTAAAACTGTAATGACTCATACGCGTGATCAACACGTGATCAGAGCTCGATCCCGGCTTCCTTCCAGTACAGCCGTATAGCGTACGACATATATGTCGTTTCTGTGGCTTTGCGGTGGTCAACAGCACAGACAGAGATGGAAATAATGGCTGATTGTTCTCCGCCGGTAGAACCAATGAAATCAAAGACGCGCCTCGACCGGCAGACTCATAGGCGTCGGCAACGCATTGGAACGTGTTTCGTTGAGCGATCGCATATTGTGTGTTTTTATAAGAATTGTGTGATTGTTATTGTTGTGGTTTCTGTGGGTACTGTTTTGGTTATACTTAACCATGGAGAGTACAAATGGCACGAGTGGAAGAACTGAAAGCCAGGGAACAAGTAGACGGCTTCGTAAAGCACTAAAGAGGGACGCGAAAGAAATCGTGCTCAACGTGTGCAATTATCTGAACAGATAGACATCTTTAAGCAACAAATAACTTCCGAAGTTCGAATATTAGCGCGGGTTTAATACTTCCATAGATTAGGTAGTCGTAGATTTTTCAAATTGATTTAAACATGGTGAAAATAAAATCGCTGGAACATAGTGTTACAACGTTTCGGAGATTCTTGTTCATATTCAGATATTGTTTGGGGAGGAGAAAATTGTAGGTTGGAAGCTGTATGCGGTAAATGATTGTAAATTGTTGCATATTTGGTGTCAGTAAAAGACCTTCTACTATTAAGAAGCTTATGTACCTGTTAGACATATTTTCCCTACATCTGCAATGGAAACAGAAATATGATAGATTTATTTTATATAGGTAGTTTTATTTGCAGAGGTCGAGGATTCATCGTACCGAAGTGAACCTACCTAATCACGATTCGATTTTGCCTCTTGAAACGATCGCTTTTCTTTGAAACCCTCAACGAAGGCGTAGGCAGTATAGAGTCAATCTACTTGAAATTTTAGTCAATATTCAACCGTAACATTTCGCGCCAAAGCTCTGTGATACGTAATAAGATAGTATGATTTTAATCTATTACGAGTACATCCAATTTTTATCGTCACAGCAATGTTGCGAAGTATAATCTCAGTAGTTCGCTTAGAAGGAATACAAAATGAAGTCAAGTAAGTTGACTCTGTAATTCCCACGCTAGGTAATGGATTATGTTTGGTACAAGTTAGCCCTTCTGAGAAAAAAGTTAGCTACGAACATGTATAACAATAACCATTAACAATACACACAGCCCACAGCAGTGCAGAAGGGATTTCCGACTCTGACGTACGACCACCGACGACGACGCTTGTCCATTGGGGGACCACGTCTCACACATCGACACCCGAGGAGATATTTCCAAGTATTAAGGGTAGGCGTACGGGGACATGAGTGAAATATGCCTAATTTGTGCGTAGAATTGCTGGGGTTGTAGCCACATAAATATACCAACGTCAAAAACTTGAAATATACCTTCCCGCCCCTGCAACACCTAGTCCCTAATTTTTAACCCCTAATTTTTTTTTCCGAAAACGATCAGTATCGTCTGAAATGTAAAAAAACGAGTTTTAAGCGATTTTAGTTTCTTTTTTGTTTTTGGCCTTTTTCTCCGCCGTCACTGGACCAATTTTCAAGAACTACAAACCTTTTGTGTCATCAAAATTCGAGACGTACTTCTCAAGTTATAAGCGGTTATACGATTAACGGACAGACCGACGGAACTGAGTGACATGGTTTTTCGTGATGTACGTGCCATATAACATTCAAAAAAACACTATCTACTACTACACTATTTTCGAAAATTTTCGCGGTTACAATAATTCCCCGTCAGTAGGCGTGGAAGTTAAAACTGCTTATTTTGGGTTGCTGTTTTCTCTATATTCTGAAACCTGTCTTGACATAAAATCTTCTGGATCTCTAACAGCATAACCAGTACAAGCAGAGAAATTTACCTCGAAAAGAGTGTTGAGCTAATGCTATTATTCTATAGTTGCAGCTAGAATCTTTTAGATCCCTTTTTGGGCATTATATGGTTGCCTATCTTCAGATAGAATTCGTTAGTTAATGCAAATACATACACTTTCGCGACGGCCTTTGTGTTTAGAATGACCCTGTATATGCTCTGGCTGCGATATTTGCGGTATTCGGCGTGTGTACAAGTCGTAACAAGAAATGTGAAATCAGTGTTACAGAAAATTAAGTAACAGTAAATCGTACGAGAAATTTTATACGTTTTTCTACAGGTCCGTTTCTTGTTTTGATTAACAATAGCATAGCTTTCTTTTCGCCTATTAACAAAAGTGCTAAAACCTGTAGATCTGTTAACTGATATTAAATCATTTATCCGTCAACTGTGCAATAATGAAAGAAAGTAAGGGTTCACCGAGCGTCTTATACTAAGTGACATATAAATCCGAACACCCAGTTTAAATGGTTTTATTTTAATAAAATTTTTTATAAGTACTTAATGAAGCATAATAAGTAAATGATAAAAATTTCAAAATGATTGCACTGCTTTGACCTTTAATAATGTGTGGATGCACCCTGATGTGCTACGCATTCTCCAACGCGCCTAGGCATGCTTCTGATCAGGTGGTCAATGTCCTCCTGTGGTATCTTATTCCAGGCAACCACCAACTCCTCTCGAAGTGCTTCTAGAGTCTGAGGAGGACGTTGCAAATTGAGCAATCTCCTACCCATTATATCCCACACGTGCTCAATTGGGGATAAGTCGGGAGATCTTGGTGGCCATGGTAACAATGTGACATCATTATGTTGAAAGAAGTCTATTGTGACTCTTGCAACATGTGGTCGGGCATTATCTTGTTGGAAAGTTGGATCTGCCAGGGTGTCAAGATATTGTAAAAGATGGGGTTCTAGAACTTCGTGGATATAACGCTGCGCGTTCATGTTACCTCTGATGAAGATTAAAGGTGACCTGGAACCATAAGCTATAGCACCCCAAACCATAACTCCAACAGTGTGATGAACATGTCTTTCAACAAAAAACTGTGGATTCCTCCTTTCACCACGTCGCCTTCTAACCCTGGCACGACCATCGTGCATGCCTAAACAAAATCGAAACTCGTCACTAAAGACAATACTGTTCCATTCCTGATCCCAGAGTGACCGTTGTCTGCACCACTCAAGGCGATTACGTCGGTGTTCTCGAGTTAAAGGGAGGACCCAGTGTGGCCGTTATGAAAACAAGCCAAAACTTCTCATTCGTCGGTAAACACTTCGCATGCCAATAGGTCTTCCGTGTTCTGCAAACCATTCATTTGCAATGGATCTGGTAGTGGAGAAACGGTCCCTTAAGGCCAATAATCTTAGGCGGCGATCTTCACGGTCTGTTGTTCTACGGCGGCGTCCAGTGCCCCTTGCTCTTTACGTACGGTCTTTTCGAAGCCATGCCTGACAACACCTAACCACAGTGTCTACACTTCTTTGCACTCTAACTGCAATTGCCCGAAAAGAGAGTCCAGCTTCCCGAAGTCCCACTATACGGGCCCTATCAAACTCACTAAGTTGACGAAATCGTACAGGTCTCCGTACTCTAGGCATCGTAACCGATCGTAAAGGATGTCAAGAACCAAAATCCGCCAACGTTGATTCTTTACTGCGGCTGAAATATTCATTTTTAGAGCGTTAGTGAATTAAACCAAAGCAGTATAAAAACCGGAATGTCCAACTGATAAGGCTGAAAATTTTTTCACTTGTTATTTACAGTAAGATAAATACATTCACCAACTTTTATTAAAATAAAACCATTTAAACTGGGTGTTCGGATTTATATGTCACTTAGTATATAATCACTTATCTATCAATTTTCCATTTTGTTCTTGAACACAGTCAAGAAACGTATGTAAATAAAAAACAATTGAATATCCGTAAATATTCTTTACGTCGTCTAAAATATTGTAAGATATAAAAATTAAACTACTAATGCCGTATTTAAAGTAAATCAGTGATTTTAAACATTTCAATTTTGCCTTTTTTTGAGTACGTTTGTAAATTTGTGTTATAGTGAACGTAATTGCTGTCAAAAATATACGTACGTTCTGTGATTATTGATAAAATTTTGGCATCGTTTTTCGTTGACAGTTTATTTTTAGTTCCTGTTATGAAAAAAGCATACCGCAAAACTTATAAAAATCGCTTTCTAAATACCACTGATGTAATTCCTTTTTAGTATTCATTTTTAGCTCCCCTCGTAATGTGCATTTCCCTCATATAACCCAATCGAGTCGATGTTGCCACACGTACGATTTTTCTACGTATTTGAAGAAATTGTTGGCAACATTTCAACGATATTATATACCGAAGCAACGTCCCCATCTTAAATTCAAAAACGTTCCAAATCATTAACATTATATAGGGGTGAAAGTCATACCTGTACATTTAAAATGAACAATCCCCGTACCGTTTGCCTCATATACATATTGTGATATTTATTTTTGCACGGGATATGCGTACAAAGGGTCACAAGTAACATACACTTGTATTAATGTATAATGCCAAGTGGTCTATTAATCAGTAATTGCAATTAAACTGTTTCAAATAATAGTTTTTCCAAACGTTCAGTTTGATGTCTCGAACCGATGTGTCGCTCACATAACTTAATATGCAGGTAGATCAGAGTACAAAAAATGGTGCAGCTCCATACAGGGCCGCAGAGAGAAGATCCGGGCCCGGGGGAACCGAAGCGCGGGCCCGGGGGAACCGAAGCGCGGGCCCCTACCTCGCCCCTCTTTCGATTTTCACTATTTCTTTCGATTCTGCGATTCTCTCTTATATACAGTAATTATCAAATTGTATGAGTACGTGCATTTATTCAAAAACTATTGTCAGAGGTTACAATGAACACATGATGATGAAACTAATCATATGTCCCGTTTTTGGATGTGTTTATTCAAAATCAATAGTATTGAGAATAAATGATTTTATACTTTTCTTTCCCAATTTTTTTCCTTTTACATGAAACTTATTCTTTTCAATATTTCTTGCTCTTAGATCCTGCAGTGTTTATTAAATAACTTGTACAGCGAGTATTCATTATGATAGAGAACAATGCTGAAATGAAACATTGACTCAAAGAGTCATCATAAAATATTGAAAGCACATGTCAACTTATACTGGCCGATACTAAACATTAAGATTTAGTATTGGAAAGCATTGGGAAGCACTGTCATCGTATACTGTCTGATATTTTTTCGTTCGTTGTGAAGCTACTCTGCAATGGGCGGTATTATTTTATTTTTTTTTTATACTCCAACTACCACGAAGGCCTAAGGCCTAAGCACCCATTGGGTACCGTGTGGCTATAGGAGGATACATGGGAAAGGGGGAACGCCACATGGATTCTGGCGAGGGAACACGTGTGCATGCAACATGCACACATTCTGGCTCCGCCTACGAGATCCGCCGGGTGGTACCTCCGCGTTCGACAGTTAGAGACCGTCTACCACCTACGGACAATCACAACATCCATAGCCAAGAGAAAAATTTCTCCTGGGACGGGACTCGAACCCGCACAGCGCACGGCGACTGATCAGGAGACCGAAGAGTCTACTACTGCAGCCACCGCTGCTGCGTACGTGAAATTAAATCAAACTTTAAAGCCGATTTGCAATCTTCTTATTTGTTTTTGAAAAATAGTTTACGATGAAAATGTTACTAAATTGCTCTTACTTCATTAAATGAAATTCACTTATAATATGATGCACACAACTTTTTTTTTCTTTCGAATTGATTTTTCAGTCTGAGCGTCAGGCCGGACCCCTTGAAAAGTGCGGGCCCGGTGAGAATAGTACCCGATGCCCCCCCTCTCGTCGGGCCTGGCTCCATACATTAATTACATATCTTAAGCACTTAAAATTCGTCAGGGCTTGATTAGCGACAGGTAGCTTGGTTTCGGCCTCATCGATCCACATCAGGGGACTTCCTAGCTTAAGTCACGTGACTGCGGAATAAACTCATCCGGTCTCATGGTGAGGCTCATGTCATTACCCTTGATATCACGATGGCCTCTCCGGGAAGCTTTATAGATGGGTTCTCTCTGGGCACAAGATATCCGTCGTAACTGACTGGTTCTCCTCTGCATCCCACACGGTCAACGCGGTTGTTCCCCAGCGATCGATCATGGCTCCGACATAGTTCTTCTTACATAAAACACAGTACTGTACTGCTATACAGGGTCTCTCAAAATACTGATCGCCAGGTAGGGTGAATAGGCCAGTGGAAGGACAGTTTAGACAAAAGTGAAACTAATGTTTTTGGAGCTGATCATTTATGTTGTTAACTTTTCGCCGACAACAAATACATTGCTTATAGATATTTCTGTAATTTTTGTCGAACAAAGAGCGTCCTAACGCTCATTCAGTTTCTGCCAAAGAGCCGTTCACTTCGGCTGGTCGGAGTCCAGATAACCGAGGACTGGATTTGGCAAGCAGTCATCTCGTCAATAGCGGCGGCTGCTAAGAAAAAGCTGGAATGAGAAGCACTTTTCACATGACTCTTCGCTCTGTACAAGACCCAGGTAAGACCTAGCCGTGTGTCTGCTCACGTGCTTGGGGAGCTGCCACCTCGACTACATTATCCATGTTCGATGCTGTTCAAAGGATGACTGGCTCTCTTCTACCGCTAGGCCAACTGGGTTTGCTCCTCAGAGCTTTCCTCAATGATGCCGCCGCGCGATGTGACTCCCAGACAGACCCGCCTTCTAATGGACAAACGCAGCACTTTTGCATATTTTGAGTTTAAAAATACGTTGTGCTTCTATGTCCATGGAATATTAGGACACCCTGTATACCATAGTCAATAGGCCACCGTGTAGTTATATGTACCTACTATACAGGGTGTTTCAGTTTATTGTTGCATAACTTAAGATTCGATAGAACTTTTAAAATTAATGCATAAAGTCTATATAAACATGGGTCGAAAAATGCGTTGCTTCCGAAATACAGGGTGTTTAAATTTACTTTTTAAAATAGTTTTTTTTAAATATTTCGAACAATATTTGATGTATAACAGTGAAAATTGGTATACAAGGGTTTTTTGGTATGACAAATCGAACCATGGGCATAGTTTTACTGTAGCCGCTAGAGGGCGCTCTCTACTGTACCTGTAGTGTATTAAAATGACAGACAAATTTTTTTTAGTGCAATTTTTGCTTTTTGAATAAAAAAACTGATTCTTCGCACTTTTCTGCATAAAAAAGCTCTCCTGTGAGTTTTCGGTATAGTTAGCCGTTTTTGAGATATTTCGATTTTTAAGGTTCGATGCATTTTTAATTATTTATGATAAAATAACGTTAAAAAGACAGTATCTCGATAATTTTTAGAAGTAGGCTGTGCCTGCAAATATTCTTGAAATTGAAAGCAGAATAAGGTTAAACGTCAATTAGTTAACAGTTACTTTTGTTGTCTGTTGAAACCTGAAACGTTTTTTTGCAATTGTGAATGCATGACATTTAGTTTCTTTTACCTGTTTTTTCTTGTAAGTTTTATAAAAATGTCATTTTTATTCTCCAATCAAGAGTTAGCGGATATTCATTTTGTGTATGGCTTTGTAAATGGAAACGCAGCAGAAGCAGCCAGAGAATACGCACGAAGATTTCCAAACAGGCGACATCCAACTCGCTCAGTATTTGTAAGAGTGCATCGCCAAATAATTGAAAATGGTTTTGGAAATCTCCAAAGGGATCAAAACATAAATGTTCGTCTGCGCAGATTTACCCGTATGATTCTGCGTGAGTTTGATAGAGATCCGACCACAAGTGTTAGGAGAGTTTCTGGTGCCTTGGGAATTTCAGCAAGCCATGTTCACCGTGTTCTTAGAAATGACCATAGCCGTCCTTACCATTTGCAACCTGTGCAAGGACTACAGCCAGGGGACGGAGAACGAAGAATCACATTTTGTCAGTAGATTCTTGATAGAACTGATAATAATAGGGAGTTTTTAAGTAACGTTTTATGGACCGATGTGTCATGCTTCACTAGACGTGGAGTGGTAAATTTTCATAATCAACATATTTGGTCGCATGAAAATCCGCATGCAGTTCGGCAAAGAAATTTTCAGCATGAATTTAGTGTGAACTTGTGGATTGGTATCTACCGTAATCGACTATTTGGACTCTACCTTTTGCCTGCAAGGTTAAATGCTGCGACCTTCTTGGAATTTTTAAAGGCTGAACATGCAAATATGTGGGATGATATTATGTTAGATTTAAGAAGATTGGCCTGGTTCCAGCTTGATGGTTGTCCAGCTCATTATTCGAGAATAGTTAGAAACTGGCTGGACGAAAATTATCCAGAAAGATGGATCGGCCGTGGAGGACCAGTCGCCTGGCCTCCACGATCCCCTGACCTAAATCCATTAGATTTCTTTGTGTGAGGATTTCTAAAAGAAAAAGTGTACCAGACACCCGTAACCACAATAGATATGCTAATAGACAGAATCAGGAATGCATGTGATGAAATAAGGCCTTATTTGAATAATGCTATACCACGTTCGATCATTCGTAGATGTGAATTGTGTGTTGAACAATTGGGTTTACATTTCGAGCAACTACTTTAGATTTTGTATGTTTGTCCTAACTATCCAATATCATTTTAGTTGTAAATAATTAATTTAATTTGTTAAAAATAATATTGGAAAATTAAATAAATTAATATTCTGTTTTTTTTTGTGTTTATTTGGAGTTAGGAATTATTGCTGTGCTTAAAAATACAATCTAAACGATCATCTTAATTACTTGTAATGCCCAAATCTAAAATGTAAAAAAAATAATAAATAATTAAAAATGCATCGAACCTTAAAAATCGAAATATCTCAAAAACGGCTAACTATAACGAAAACTAACAGGAGAGCTTTTTTATGCAGAAAAGTGCGAAGAATCAGTTTTTTTATTCAAAAAGCAAAAAATTGCACTAGGAAAAAATTTTCGGTCATTTTAATACACTACAGTAGAGAGCGACCTCTAGCGGCTACAGTAAAACTATGCCCATGGTTCGTTTTGTCGTACCAACAAACCCTTGTATACCAATTTTCACTGTTATACATCAAATATTGTTCGAAATATTTAAAAAAAAAAACTATTTTAAAAAGTAAATTTAAACACCCTGTATTTCGGAAGCCACGCATTTTTCGACCCATGTTTATATAGACTTTATGCATTAATTTTAAAATTTATATCGAATCTTAAAGTTATGCAACAATAAAATGAATATAAATTTAAACGGCTTATGTTCGACTGGCCAGAGGAACGTATACATCCATGGTGTGAATGTAGCAACAATTGACTTTTTTGTCCAATTTAGCTTCCAAACCACTGTATCCATGACATACTGGGACCTTTTCACAAAGCGACTTGGCAACGCTGCGCGGAATCGTTCTTCCGATTCGCGGTTCGCGATGCAGTCGCCTGTTTGTTTGGCTCGAATGACTAAGCCTCGCGTTACAGATGATTGTATTTCGGCAATTATATCAACAAATTTCTACTTTTTAGTGCTAACAGTGTGCTAAATCGATTCTAATAATGGAAATACACTTCTGAAAATGTAAGTATGTTCATTTCGTTTTTTTGTTCTCAGTGTATTCAATATTCAAAGCTTTTACCTAAAGTCTAGATGCATGACTATAAAAATAGGAAAATCAACCTCACTATTCATTTTTGTTTACGAGTTTATTGCCAATCGTACCTGCTGCAATTGACCATGTTTCATTTACCTTGAAGTAAAAGCTTAGAGCATTTTTCGTGTTATTATTTAGCCTGATTAGATTTTAATGATTATACATGATTGCAATCAGCTGATTTCTGTTGGAAGTAGTAGGCAGGGGGCGGTTTATTTAAAAATAATATTTATAGAGAACATGATTACGCAAACTTAAATAACAATTATGTAGATCAGGCAAGTAGGGCAAGCGCATGATGTTTGAACAATGCATGAGGCAATTAAGTGATCCTTTTTTGGTATATTCAAGTTGAAGATTATTATACACTGTCATCCAAAAGTAGCTGATGAGTTTTGGTGTCAAAATATCAACGATGTTTCATACTCATACTTTTTACATCCGTGCTAGTCTTTATTCTTTCAATAGAACTAATAAATACTTCTTTATAAGCGTGAGTAAACATAAGGACATAAAGAGTCAGACAGCCCTGTGAACACGTGTTTCATTACAAAAGAAGGGTCTGTTATGCGGGCCCAGGGTTGCCAGACCTATTTCTATAAGTCCCCCAGCCTAAATAACAAATTCCCCCAAAAAGCACATCTTTAAAAAAAATCTCCCAAAACTTTCAAAGATATTTATTATTATTATTATACTTTGCAGGTTGGCTATGATTGTCTTATGAGTATGGTATTTATGGTAATAACACTAATAACTAATAACAAGTAACATAAATATATATTTTTTTACTATCATAATATACGAGTAGTATGCTACAGCTCCGAGAATGCATTTAAAACTTCTTCCTCCTCCTTTTTGCAATCATACATTCTTTCAGAATTGAAATATTGCAACATATTTTCAGTTGGTTGAAAATCTGTACAACCATTTTTTAAATTGCACAGATACCATCGAACTCTCATGATAGCATCTGTACTATGAATCGCCAAGCGATTTCTAAGTTTGTTTTTTACCACATTTATAATGGAAAAAGCTCTCTCAACTGAAGCATTAGAAAATGGAAGGCTAAGTAACGCAAGAGCTAATGATGAAATATTTTTATATCTAGGTTCCCCTGCTGCATCGACGTTATTTGCCACCTCAACCCAAAACTTTTCTGTATCATGCAGGTTTATCCAATTTATTCGAGGAAGTGATTTCCATTCTGCAATTGTACTATCAAGGTCAGGACATATTGTTGAGAAAGATAAAGCAATATTAGTTATTTCAGGTTGACGTATCTTGGATGTAGCTAATTCGGGGTTAAATGAATTTATTTTCTCCAAAATATTCATACTTTCAGGGATTCTCATTTGAATTTGTCGACATAATTCCACTAAAAAATCTTTACATCTAGTTCATCTTGTTTAATTGCTAAGGATGACGCTTTTGAATTGAACGAATATCCTAAATTTATCAATTCTATATCCATAATGTAATCTTCAAATTTGAAATCAACGACGTTATTTTTTGATATTTTTTGAAGTCTCATAGGTGGTACTAAAATACTTAGGTTATTGAAAAGTAATAAATTCAAATCTTCCATTAATTTCAGTGGATCTGCACACTCTGACTGAAACAGTTTATTAACTCTAATTATTTCTTTCAATGTCCAACTCAAAAAGGTGAAATATAATACATTAGTTTGGTCCGATAACATTTGAAACAGCTGTTCAGCCATATAACACCTTTCATTATCTTTTACTATACCAAAGTGTATTTTTAATGCATCCCATTGTTCTAGAATTTTAACTATCGCATTGTATCTGGCTAGCCATCTGGTTCCTGATAGTTGGTCAATTTTTAGTGGTTTTTGATCCGTCAGTGTTTCAAATATTTGTTTGTATGCTATTTGCCTTTTTGTACTACAAGAGAACCAATTGTGGCATTCCTTGATTATAAAGTCCAAATGACGAGGTAGAAGTTTAAATGCATACTCTGCTGCCAAATGCAGAGAATGACAGACGCACTTAATAATAACAAGTTCATTATTCTTTGCTTTCAAAAAAGAAGCTACTGAATTATGCGCTCCAACCATAACATTGGCTCCATCAACACCGATTCCTATTAGATTCCCTAATTTTAAACCGTCTAGCTCCAGTTGTTTTGTCACCGCAGCCGAGATAGTTATGGCATCTCCCTTTTCAATTTCGATAAGTTTGTAGAAAGTCGTAACAATCTTAGTTTGCTTTTTACTAAAATATTTTATCATAACGCATAGCATTTTTGTGGAATCGACTGCAGTGCTCTCATCTATAATCAATGAATATTTACTATCTGCAACATCCAAAAGTAAGTCATTTAGTATTGAAGGAGCCAACACATTCAATATTAAAGATGTACATTTAGTTCTGTGTAATTTAACGTCATTTAATATTTCAGATGATTTATCTATATTTTTTAAAAGTGATCCAAGATGATCAATTGTTGCAAGTGAGCAGTGCTCACATATGAATGCAGCAATTTTTAATTCTGCTATTTTCCTGCTGGCGGTCAAACCTTTTTTCATAAACTCAGTAATTTTTTTACTCGGGCCAGCCAAAGATCTTTTCTCCGCCTCTTGATGTTTCTTACTTTTACCGTGAAGCAGTAAGTCTTTTTTATGTGGAGCTAAAGTACATTTACATATCTTACAAAGCGACTTTGTCTCATCTGCTAATACAGGACCAATCCATCCTATATGGAATGAATAATTATAATTAATAACCCACACCATCAAAATTTCAATAGATTACCTTTAAGTTCAGCATCGGATTCCCAAGCAACTCGGTATTTTCGGGTATATAACGACTCCTTTTCTTTAGGCATATTTAGATTGACACGTACAACACTAATTTGGATAAACCATGCGTATTGAACACTCCAAAGTAAAAGAAATATAGCCTATAAAGTTAATGATAGGAAAGGAAATAAAGTTACACGATTCTCTGGGTTTCACATAGATGAGAAACACTTATTTAATCGCGCCATCTAACGCACAAAAACAAAATAATATTTTGCCGCTATTGAAGGAAACTGTAATGTAGGTGCTTCAGAGTAATTTTAATAGTTGTTGAAAGATGGCAGGATTATCTGTAAATGAATTTATATTTATTCAAAGTTGTTCTCGAATTCCAATAATTTAATTGAAACTTGAAAATTGGTCAGACGACAGAATGTCTTCTTAAAATCGCACCCCAAAAAAACCCCAAAACGGAATAATTTTCCCCCAAAAAATCCCCCACGCGTTGTATACCCCCAAAAATTCCCCCAAGCAATGAAAAATACCCCAAATTTGGGGGAAAATCCCCCAATCTGGTAACCCTGTGCGGGCCCAGGCTCAAATAACATACGAGGGTTGGCCAATAATTTCCTGAAATAAAGTTAAAATACACATAAATTATGCCTTTATGTTGTATATGTATGGTTAGCAAGTATGTACATCCTTCTATAAGGGAAATAAATAACTTGTTACTTCCATTGTACGTTGTAATTGTAAATGATAATCCGAAATGTCGTGTCTATGAAGAACGAATGAAATGGCAATGACTCGTGACATTGACAGCTGACGGAAACTATACGAGGAGCATTCGGTACATAAATGTATGATCATATGGGTCGGGTTAGATGTAACACTTTTCGATTATAATTTGCTATACAGAGTCTCCAAAAATACTGATGATATTTTCAACGCCTGGTATATATATGTAATAATGACTCCTAAAACATCTTTTTTGAAATTTCGATTATTTAGATGTACACGGTATTTCTTGTTTAATTTCTATAAAGTGGGCATTTTTTTTGAGAAAATCGACTTTAACTGCAGCCAATCTGCAAAAAATTCGTCAAAGGATTGTAATCGCCAAAATTTTCTAAACTGATATTATGCTTCTTGGATGTTATAACCGGCCATAACTTGAAGCTTTGTAGCTTTTGAAAAGCGGTCCAACGTCGACAGAGAAAGAGGCCAAAAACGAAAAAGATTAAAAATCGCTTTATACTTCTTTTTCTGACGTTTCAGACTTTCCCCAAAAAATTTTAGAGGTTTATACGCTCTCAACCTTAATAATTCTACGCACCTATTAGACATATCTCACACATCATAGATTTCTCTTTACATTAGCCCTTAAAACTTAAAAATATATTCTTAGCAGACGGATCGCGCACCTACCGGCCGCGGCTGCTGCTTCAGGTATGCCGCCGTCCTTGGTGAGTGTTCTGTTGTTCTGGAATGGCATTACACGTATTACTGCAGCGTCACAGCATAGTGTTTCCTGTGCTCTGACCGCGCTACCACGAGTGACCGAGTTAAATATCGGCGACGTTGCCAAATGCACTATCGGTAGAGCAGGGAAAGAATGTCTATGGACTAATTGTATGGACCTGTTTGACCGACTTTTTTCTTAGAAGGTCCAGTTTGTACTGAATCCGGCGTAGCGTAGGTAGAGCAGACTCAACTTACTTCACGCCCTTTTTTATTTTGTTTGTTGGGTCAAACCTGGTGAATTTTAGATTTTCTCAGATTTTACATTCTGTTATCAAATGAGGGTTAAATGAGTCGGAAAGTTTCATCATCTTTATATGCCATTGAATTTCATTGAAGATTGTATGCATGATTCAAGATGTTTTTATCTATCTAGATCATGTTTGTGTAGTATTTAATCCTCGTGATGTCGTTATAGTAACAGTGTCATCTTTATCTTTGAGAAATGTAGTAAACGTTTAGGTTTATCAAAAACACTCTTCTATTTATACACAATCTAATTGTTGTGAAAGAATCATTTTATTTTCACTCGTTATTTATTTAGTATAATGATGTTATACAGGGTGTTCCATAATTATTGCGACAAAATGATAGGGGTTGTAGAGGGCATCAAAATGAACAATTTTTCCTTATAAACCCCTGTTCGGAAACATGCCGTTTGGGCTGCAGCAAAAAAAAAGATCAGTTTCTTGAAACAGCTTACCTACAGTAATTGCTCAAAGTGTCCTCCACCTTGCTCAATACACACCTGTGCACGATTGTTCAATGATCGGCGAACTCTGTGGCATACCCCCGGTATGTCCTGAACATGTGCAAACGCGGCCATCACTCTTCCCAGTAGCTCTTGTTGGTTGGGAACAGGAGTTTCGTACACTAAAGCTTTCAGATAGCTCCAGATAAAATAATCCAGTGGAGTCAGGTCAAGTGACCGCGCAGGCCAAGGCACAGGGCCACCTCGGCCTATCCACCTATTTGGAAATTTGTCGTCCAAATACTGCCGCACTTGTAAAGAAAAGTGGGCTGGACCGCCATGGTGTTGAAACCACATGTTGGCTCTTATATTCAGTGGCACATTTTCTAATAGTTCCGGTAGCACATGCTGTAAGGATCGACCATAAGCATGCCCATCCAAACGTGGTGGAAGCAGATATGGCCCGATGATATGCTCGTCCACAATGCCGCACCAGATGTTAATTGAAAACTGATGTTGGTCTCTATGGATGGCTATGGCATGAGGGTTTTCTTCATCCCAAATGTGACTGTTACGGCTATTAAAATAACCGTCCTTTGTAAAACAGGACTCGTCAGTGAACAAAACGTAGCGACCAAAGTTTGGTTGCCTCAACTCCTGCTGCAGCCACCAACGACAAAAACGTCGACGCGGCAGATAGTCTGCTGGACCCATGGCTTGGACTTTTAAAAGGTGGTACGGGTGTACGATAACAAAAATGTAAACACAGCAGGCTTTTGCTACAAACCGGCGAGACCATGAAATGTGCTAGACGAACATTTTGCAGCTGGTGAATTTTTTGTTTCTCCTATGAGCTCTTAAGGTAAAATTAACTGTAGTGCTCAAACGGCATATTTACGAACAGGGGTTTATAAGGCAAAATTGCATATTTTTATGCCATCTACAACCCCTATCATTTTGTCGCAATAATTATGGAACACCCTGTATATTAGTTTATAAGTTAAAATCTTAACATGCTTAAAAGTTTGTTTACAAGAATACCTACTACTGACTCCACATCATACATCTAACCACCCTTTTCTGTGCCAAAAATACTTACTAGACATTTGTGGACAAACTCCAGTCAATCAGAGCTGATTGCTGCTAAATCACTTTGAATGTTTGACCCCACCTACGGTAGCTTCCAACTCATTCGATATCATCACTGAAGTATCATCTGCATATAAAATGAATCTACCTTGAGAGGAACAGTACTGAAGGTCATATAATTATAGACTGAATAGCACAGGTCCTAGAATAGATCCCTGAGGGACGCCTATGGTGATGTGAACCATGTCGGACTTAATAGGAGCATTCAGACCAGTATCGACGATAATCACAAATTGAAGCCTATTCTATAGAAAATACCTTATCCACTCAACAGGGCACTGCCTCGATCATTTTAACTAGAGTTCCGTGGAAGCTGTGAATTGCTGTTACCGTAGGGTTTCTATTTCGAAAACAGTTGAATCTCTGTCAAAATATTATTTTCCAAAAACAGCAGTCTGTCCAGAAAACAGTACTCGAATACTTTAAGTGTGCTAGGAATGCCAGTTTCATCTAGCAGTTTACTGAGTATACTCATTGAAAACAGCTGCGGTTTAGACAAGGCGTTTCATGAGTCTCGTCGGTAGCGCACTCAATAAAGGGTTAATCCCCTATTCCAGAGGCGGCATCCACCATCCGCATCACATTTAGTCATTGCCACTGGATGACTGGTCACAGGGCGTTAACATCTAATGAATCATGACGTCATTAGTAACAGGCCTACGCAGATTAGCGCTCTCGCTCAACGATCCACGGATGGTTACTTATCGTGTTACTTTCAGTTGCCTGGATTATTTTTATACAAGAAAGGCGATATCTTTATGTACTGAATCGTGATTCACGAAGCATGCTCACAGCTGCGTACAAACTTACAGATGTAAATACAGTGGACCTGCGGTAATCCGACAAACGTTTTGATTATGGAGTACTTACTGCCTAAGACCGTCTATAAACCAGAATTCTTTGAATAAGAGCACCTTGTATTCCGACAAATTACAAAACAGAATATATTTGAACTAAAAATCATACTATATACATAATCATGTATATGTATAATAGGGTGTACCAGCCTATGAGTTCAAACAAATTTTTGTTTTGAGATACGCATATCCTCTCATTTTTTTCCATTCGACTCTAACAACTCAAAAAATAAATATTGCGATCGGGGATAACCCGTACCGACTTTTGGTCAAGCTTTGAATTTGAAAGTGAATAAAACACTGCTTTACTTGTATCTTGTATTTCTTAGATATTTATGTAGGATGCGAAGAGAGAAATGATAATAGAATAATATATCATGATAAACGTGTAAACCACAAACCCATCTTACAAGGTTTCGAAGTACCACCGTGTACCATTTCATTTTTACTACAAGGGCAGGTAAATAATTCGAAATGGACAACAATGTCAGGATAATATTAAAGCCACTTACGTAGTGACGGAACCAATACCTATTTTTGGAAAAATGATTTGAGTATCTCACATATTCAACCGATTCATAACATGCACTACCGTAGGATTACGCTAATTATCCGCAGTGGTACCAATTTATCATTATTTACTTATGATTTATCATATACTGATCCGCAGAACCTAAGAGCGGGGGCACACAACCCCCTGGGACACACAGTCCCTCAAGGACGCACAGTCCTCCACTTAGGCAATTTTAAGCACACAGCAGCCTATATGATCAACATATACTAAGTGACATATAAATCCTAACACCCAGTTTAAATGGTTTTATTTTAATAAAAGTTGGTGAATGTATTTATCTTACTGTAAATAACAAGTGAAAAAATTTTCAGCCTTATCAGTTGGACATTCCGGTATTTATACTGCTTTTTTTTAATTCACTAACGCTCTAAAAATGAATATTTCAGCCGCAGTAAAGAATCAACCTTGGCGGATTTTGGTTCTTGACATCCTTTACGATAGGTTACGATGCCTAGAGTACGGAGACCTGTACGATTTCGTCAACTCAGTGAGTTTGATAGGGGCCGTATAGTGGGACTTCGGGAAGC